CTGGGCTCTCCTGTAGCAACTGTGGTCATCTCTGCCCTTAGAATGGGACTGGCCTGGATTGTTCAGGGGGTAGGGGTGGAGAGGTTGGGGTGGGAGTAGGAAGCTCCTGAAAAACATGAGGAAAGAGCAGATACCACTGTAATAAAGAGATCACTGGCCTGGGAGCAATGAGGCCTGAGATTCCAGTCATGGCTTTGCCATTACCTCCCTGTTCAACAGCCTTAGTCAAATCTTTTTAGTTCATGAATCCTCAGTTCCCACACCTATAACCTGATGGAGTTGATGCAGCTGAGCATTCCACCAGTGAATTCCCTGTAAAGTATAGGGTGCCAGGCTGCTTCTAGCTCTGATATTTTGGCTAATGCCCAGCAGATGATATTTCTGTGGTCCTAAGTCTATTCAGGGAAGAAACTAAGCTGGGCCCTGAGCCCTCCATCTCATTCTGACCCATGAGTGGAGGCTTGGCCCAATCCAGCCCTGTGGAAACACCAGATGAATAGCACTTGGAGCTGTGTTAGTATACAAAGATAGAAGAAGGCATATGCTTACTGTGATAAAATTCAGATGAACTCACTTGGGGAGACCCCTCTCCTTGCAAGTCCCAAGGACAGATTTTTTTTTTTTTTTTTTTTTTTGTAGTTTAAAGTTTTAATGAAATTCTCCAAGGACAGTTTTTAGAAGTGTGTATAGGCGGTGTGGTATGGCTTTTGTTGTTGATGTTCTTAAAGAAACACAGCCATTAGTAGTTAGTAGACAAATAGTTTATGCAGAAAATAAGTGTGTTACAGTTCATTATTGTCAATGATACAGCATTTTCAATCATGATTATAGGTGAAACCAATTAAAACCTCATTAGGTAGTCATAGCACATTCATGCTAGTGAGAACATTGCAAAGCACTGCACCTGCATTATAGGGGTAGACAAAACTGAGGATGGGATATATTTTCACTCACCTCTGGTTGCCTTTGTGTATTTTGTCATTGAGACTTACATTATGTTTGGGTCAAACAAAAAACCCAAAGCGGTTTTATAAAAGTTTACAACCATTAAACAGTATTTGTTTAATACCACAAATGGATAAAGCAAACTACTATAGCTCAGTAATATACAAATCAGGACTAGAAATAGTCAATCTGCCTATGTATATAGCTAGCTACAATATGATAGACATTGAATATGCTGAGTCTTTTCAAAGGCATCAACTACTTTAGACAAGCAAGTTCCCAAAATATACTGGTTTGGGTTCCAGTGAGAACTAACTGTAGTGCCACTTCAGTTTAAGACTATGCCCTCCTCAGTGTCAGACGTGAGGAGAAGAAAACTAGGGGAAGGCAGGGAAGGATTAGGAGCACACCTGAGCAGGGCTCTTTGGATAGCTTAACATTATTTTCCCTGTGCAGTTTCAGACCTGGTTCACAGAGTAAAAGTGTACTGAAATTGTTGGCCCTCAGAAAGGGCAATTGTACAAAGTCCCATACTAACAGCATAGATAGAACATTAACTGAGTGCCTCTCAAAATGAACTCTTCTATGTTAGAAGAAATCTCAGTGCCAAAGGTGAATGGGTATCAATGTTGGAATTACTGTATAAAGATAATTTATTCTCAGATAGAAAAAAATGGATTTTCAAAGTTCTGGAAACTAGCAGAGAGAGAGAGAGTACTTATATTTATATTATTACTTAGAAGAAAAAAAGTTTTACAGACCCTTTCCATAAGGCATCTGTCATTCTCCCTTCCATACCTTGCATTTTAAGAGACAGGGCAATGGCTATATGCTACCTTTGAAAAGGCTCTGGTAACTGGATTGACCATGCCACTCCAGAATCACATTTCTTCAGGTTGAAATAAAAGTAGCAACCACAAAAATCACAAAATCTACAAAATCTTAGGTCTGAACATGCACAGACTTGCTATGAGTTCAGAAATTCGGTGAAAAAATTAAAAGTACAAAGCACCTCTTGCAAAATATACTGGTCCTTGGAACCACACAACACACTGTGCAGTAACCTCTGCTGAGTGCTTGGAGGTAAGTATTCTGAAGGACACATGCTTAACCCTAGAAAGGAAACCTGATTTTATTATTAGGAGAGCTGAGAAGGTCCCAGTGCTTCTTTGTATTTGTTGTTCTATAATTAAAGACAAAATGGGAAAGTCAAGAAATGTGTAGACCTCAGTATAGAGAAAATGTTTCTCTAATAACTTCATGAAAAACCATGCTAGATTTATGCATTCATAATTGTAGCTTCTTGCAGATGATTCACTAACACACTTTTGACACAAAATTCATTTTGTAGGGACATATTAAATTTAATAGGCTAAAGAGAACTTATGCAATATAATGCTTGAAACCGTACTCACAATGGCAGTGTGCATAGTAACAAAGAAGCCTTGAAAAATTGTCTTTGTCTATAAACCACTACTGCTCTTTGGAAACAGTTCCCTCATGACCCCCAGGCTGCTTTCCTGTGACACACAATGCCAGAAACATCATGATGAAAAGTCAGTACCTAACTTAGTTTATTAGGAGTTTTATACATGTTTTTTATACAATCAGGAAAAAAAAGATAGAATTTTTATCAACAAAAGGTCATTTCTGGTTATTTAGGCACTGCTTTTAGCTACTTCAGTTCATACACATTTTATGAGAAGAATGACAATTGTTTTTTGAAAATAAAAAATAAATATGCTGCCTTAAAAATATTTCCTGTGTTGGGAGGAGCTTACAGTTTTTCTGAACATGGTCAAGATAAATTGCAGCTGACAAGATAAATCTTGTGCTTCACTGTAAATTGTGCAGCTAGTGGATACTGTGGTACCATTGATGATTTTGGGAGGAAGATGAACTAACTGGCACAAAGGCAGTAGAGTCATCTACTCTATTTGTATTTGACAATACCCTGATTTAGACATAGGACAGATTCAGAAGTTCCAAGAAATTGAAAATAGGAAATGGTATTTGTGTGAAATTGGGGTCAAACTGTGTGAATTGCAAATACTCCGGTGGCAACTGTCACTCTCTATTTTATACCTGACAGAAAATACTTTTACACCTCAGTATGCTGGGGAGTGGAAAGATCAGAGGGTAAGAGATGAATATGAAGCTGTGGTTAACTGAAGAGGAATGCTGGTTGAGATGCAGTTTTTATCAACAAGGACAGAGACAGAAAGCCAGAAAGCAGCATGCAAGCCATTATCAAACCACCAAAAACAACCTTGACTATAGCCTCACATGCGGAGTGTTTCACGGTAAGAAACGTTTATAGGCAGTGTCACACCTTCTCACAAAGCAACAAAAGACCTGGACCAGGCCTTCTCAACTTTCATGACAAAAAAACCCCAACAATCACAGAAATTAGCAAGTTCCAGCTCAAGAAATAGTGAGCAGGTCATGGTTCAAAATGTTTAATATACAATGGATTAAAAAAGGGGTTCATTTAGTACAGCTTAAAAAAAAAAACAAAAAACAATAAATGCCTCTTCTAGAGGCATTTAGCTACAAAGGTTTCCACCCTGAGCAAGATACTAATTGCGCAAATGGTGCCAACCCAAAGTCCTTCCATCTTTAGTAATGCATTTAAGAATTATCTAAGGGTAAGTGCATCCTCTTTGTATGTATCTGAAGTGCATAACTGAGCCAGCTATTAGCAAAGATGTAGCATCTCCTTTTGTAAGCTGCCTTTTTCCACTTAGAAAATCCCCTGGTTTTGTTTCCTAAAGAAATTCTGTTCCATCCATGATCGACCTTATTGACCAAAGGGTGGACAGTCGAAGAAGGTGGATTGCTTGTCTGTGCACTGTCCTCCATTACATTTTATCCTTTGATGTCGAATACTGCATAGGTCAAAAGTCTAAAAAGTATCCATTAGACTCTCCTTGAGTGCAGCTTTTGTGTACATCATTTAATGCTGCACAAGTTTAGCCATCTCTCCTGGGAAAAGGGAAGTGGAGTCTGGTAGTAAATCCCTTGGTCCTGGTCAAACTCTTCTGTGCTTGTCTAGCACACACCTGCTCTGCTTGGAACTTGAACTTGTCCATCAGCTCCTCTGAAGAAGAAGGCTGTAATCTGATCCCTAATTTGCTAAGGTGAAGAGACTTAAAAGCTAAGAACTGTCAGTAAATGTTGACAAGTAAAAAGTGCAAAGGAAATATAGCTAGTTTGCTCTGATGTCTAAGAAAACAATATTCAAATATTGGCATGTAATTTCACTTTCAAAACTAGTTGAAACTATGAAATGTGACATAAAATCAAGTTAGATTCATGATCTATACAGCTGTAGACTAAGGACTGTGCAGAGCTTTTCTTCTCATCATCACTATATTAAAGGTTATATGGAGATACACAAACATCTCAAACTAAATAACATACAGTTATACATGCAATATAATTGCTAACAGTAGGTTTGAAATATACCTCTAGAAGCCTTGATGTGACCCTATAGCTTGGTTAGTAAAGATATTGAATGGTCAGATATTCATGCAATAATTTATGCATTTACTTTTAAATAGCTTTAAATATCCTATTAAAAATCCCAAAAGGTTAATTCAACATATGATTTGATCCTGATGCTCTTGCCCTCTAAATTAGATATATTATCAATACTTTGTAATGTAGAATGTATGATTAAGAAAACGTTGGTAATGGAATCCCTTGGGAGTTTCTTGCATTTAGACCTCTCCCCCTGAGTTTTGTCCTCCATTGCATGGTGCCATGCAAAAAAGCATGGGACTTGGAGTCAGAGGACTTGAGTATGAGTCCTGGTTTGGTCACCTGCTAGCAGTGTGACCTTGGCAAGTAACTTAATCTCAATGAGATTCAGTTTCCTTTTCTAGAAAATAAGACATTAGTAAGATTTACCATACAGCGTTGTTTTGCGCTTCAAATAACATAAACACTGTAACTTGGAAAGCGCAACACAAAATTATTTGTTACTATTATAGTATTAATGCATTATTAGTATTAATATTTATATTTGTATAAAGGAAAAGTCCTATGTCATGTCAACGTGCAGCCCTAAGCTTAGAAACAATCAAAGCTGCCAGTTGTTGGGCATCTGCTGTGTGGGGATTCTTCTCCATCACTGCAAGGACGATATTTGAAGGGAAAATATTGCAGAGGTTCTTATAAGTCTGATACTGGTGCTCTGGGATCATATGCTCCCTGTTATCATTGCACATTCCAACCCAAGGATTCCTCCAAAGCTGTTCCATCTTTTCAGGCACGCTCCGTACCATGACTGGCTCATAGCATGGTTGCATGAGGCTGTTACTCAAGGGATAGGAGTGGTAGCCATAGGAATCAGTTGCACAGGGCAGTGGGTCCCAGCTGGCATGTTGTTCCCGGCACAGAGGAGGTCGTCTTTGCCTCATGGGGTTGCTCTCATAGAGGCGGGAGTCAGAAATGCTGTCCATCCGAGTCATTACAAGGGCACGTCCTGGCTGAGGTGTTGCCCCAGGATGGCTATTGAGAGTCATAGGGTAGTCTCCAGGACAGCTGGAGCATGCTCCAGTTGCTGGGTGCTGGGCTTGCAGAACTAAGTGGGGGACTGACTGCTTGTGGGGGGCTTGCTTAGAATCTTCTGGGCCATAGCTCTGCGCTCGCGTTAAGGCGTCATGGTAACCATGAGGAAAAGGCTGAAGACGGTTCTGAGATGCGGAGCGATGCAGCTTCAAACTGCCTTCAGGATGGCTATCAGCTACAGCCAAGTACAGGTTGTTGTAAGAGGAATAGTTGTCGTTCCTCGTATGGCTCATACGGTTGTCAGGACAGAGGTTGGGATTCCGGGCATATACCCCTCGGTCTGCTTCAGCCATGTAGTACTCTCGATTATGCATGCTGTTGATGTTCAGTTTGGAGAAGTCGCCTAACATTGAGTAGTAGCCATGGTCCCCCAAGGACTCAAACTTTGGGTATTGGTCAGCATAGCTAATAGGGGTCCCATGGCTGTTGGTAACCAGGATCGGAGGGTACTGCATGCTGGCCATGTGCTCCAGTGAGGCCTTCTGGTGGGGGAAATGAGAGGATCCTGGCACTGGGCTGCTGGCTGAACGGGTGTTGAGTGCACTCACTGCATGGCTTTTGGGGGGTGGGATTGTGGGGACACTTAGGGCAGTCACAAGTGAGGGGACAGAGCTGGCCTCAGGCTTACGGGCAATGGACAGCCATTCCTCAGACTCCACAACCATGGACCGGATGCTGGGATCCGATTGGCGCTTGGGAGCCACACGCTTGACTTCTGAGGTTGTCTCACCTTTGGCACTAGACAACCCTGTGCCACACTTGGCCAGGGTGCTTTCACTCACGGTTTTCACTGTGGACAGTTTGGCACTGATGCGGAGCTCATCAGCCACCGAACGCTGTGGTTGGTTGGCCCGCTCTGGATGGTAGTATTTGCACTTGTGGCCATAGGTGCATTTTTTGCCTGAAAAATAATGCCTTGGGGTAAGACTCTCTCTCATACTGGTGCAAATCTGTCAGAAACTGTTGTAACAATCTGGTTACTTAGGTTAGAGTTTTACTGTTTGGGATTAAGGAAGAAAATTAACTGTCCATGAAGATGAAAGAGGCAGGACAACATCAAGGAGGCATCACACACACTGTGAGGGGAGAGGGCAGAAGTGGAAAGCTGGGGAGGAAACTGCAGTGTAAAAGCTAAGAACTGAGCTGTTGAATAGCCTTCATTTTCCTGTAATTCACAACTTTGCCTAGGCATAACCTGCATGCTGAGGTGGTGTAGGGTAGCAGCAGGCAGCATAGTACAATGCAAAAAGCACAGGCTTGGAAGCCAGTCACACCTGAGTTTGGATTCCAGCTATGTCACTTACTAGCCATGTAACCTTGGTAAGTGACTTTACCTTCTGAGCCTCAATTTCCTCTTCTGTAAAAAAAGTTCATAATTATGCCTATATTATACGGTCACTGTGAAGATTCAATGAAGATAATGAACACGAAAATACTCTATAATTTAAATAAATGTTAATTGAGAAAAAGAAAAAAAAACAAGACCAAGATGTCCCATAAATAAATGATTATCCAAAAGAAGTGAACATGCAAATTAGCCTCAGACCAGGCAGCCCATGTTGCACTGTTAGGCTCACAAACTTTGTATCAGAGGGACTTGTGTAAGATCATGAGAGCACTCTAGAAAACTATATTTTAAAAAAGCAAATGAAAATGAAATTTGGAAGCAAACTGGAAAATACAGACTGAAGAAAAGAGTATTATTAGTTGACAGAGAGTGCAGTCACCTGCTTGAGAGACACGTCCTTCTTGGGGCCAAATCCCGTTTGGCATTGCCCTTTCTGCTTCCATAGGCCATGTGGATTTCTGCACTTCCCTGCCTCCAGCAACACTGCTCAGGTTGGAGGCAGCTAGAACACATGCATTATTTAAACAAGTAACAACTAATCTTTCCTTCAGTTCTTGTTACCTTTTCCTCATGTAGTTTCCAGGATGTTTCTTTAAATGCCTAACTGAGAATACATAAAGACACAGACTTTAACTCCCAGGAAGTGGACAAGTTAAGATTTTCCATTTGAAAGGGAAACCTTTGAGAAGAAAGTATTCATATAGTCCTTATGTTTCCCTTAGTATAGAACTCAGTTCTGCAATAGGTACTCACCATAAGGGCATGGTTGCTTCTTATGCTCCGGAACAACAGGTCTCTTTCTCAAGAAATTTTCAAGATTTGGGCCATGGCGTCCTAAAGGATCATCTGGAGGCATAAATCTGAAAACAAACAAGCAAGAGGTAAACATCTTCCTTTCTATCCTCACCCCCACTTCAGTAGTTCAGACCTTCATTACCTCTTGCCTATACTATTGTCACAGATTTCTAATTGCCCTTTCTGCTTCAAGCTAAGCCAGCAGTTATTCCCTCCATTCTCACTTGAACACACACACACACACACACACACACACACACGACTTTTCCAGTGTATCATTCTTCTGTGGACTATATGTTTCAACCATACTGACATGCCTGCTGGCTCCCCAACATGAAACCCGCTTTCACATCTTTATAGCTTTATTCATGATGTTCCCTTTACCTGTAGTGCCCAGCAGTCCCCTTTCTTCTGTCTGTAAACTTCATCTCAAATGTCATCTCCTGTTTGAGGCTTTTTCCTATCATTTCATGTAGACAAAGCAATTTTAAAAACTTTAACCATACTGCTTATCACAACACATTGTGGTTCTTTCTCTCTTCTCCACTACACTTTGAGCCTCTTTTAAGGGTGAGTCCTGTTTCTTATTCAACCTCTTATCCCTATGGCAATCAGCATAATGCACAGTACACAGTAAGTGTTGGGTAAATGTTTATTGAAATGAAATAATCTATTCCTAATAAAACTTGGATTTAGGCTATTCAGAGCCTACTGAAAGCAACGTACTTGTCATTCACAAAAGAATACATCAGCAACCGCTCCTCTATAAACTTCTTCCATTCTGGCTTTTCAACTTGAAGGTCTCGGTAGTTATCATTAGATACAATGATGCCGTCGGAATCGAAAGCCAATTTGACTATGAACCGGTCATCATAACAGACAACTCTCCTGCCCTGGACCCTTCGGGATGGTGTGAAGACAAGAATCTTTTCTTTCTCCAGTTTACGTAGGATGTCTTGATCTGTCAAAATATACATTATATGCTGCACAGTAGAAACCATCTTTGGAAATTAACAGCATTATCTGCATATTACAAATACAAAAGTTGGTACTAAATGAAAATGTTATTTGCCCTTAGAGAGAAAGTGGCTTCTATTCCTGGCTATGGCACCAATTTGGATTGTGACCTTAGGCAAGTCACCTTTGCCTCCTTCAGACTTCAGTTTTCCATAAAGTGATGGAACTGGATTCAATGATATTCAATGACATTCAAAACCTACCATGAAGAGTGAGAAGTAACACTGATATCCTAGCATTCTTGATGACCGTTTTGCCCTTTGGGGGAAGCAGCAGCTTTTGGCTGCTGAAGAAAACAGAGCAGTATGCTGAGGATATGTCTGTCAGGAGGGTAAACCATCACTCCGTGGGAATTACATATTTGCCTTCTGCCTGAAAGAAAGCCATAACTAAGGGGGAAACAAAGCCATAGCATGTTGAGTACTGACCCTCTTTCCTTTTGGCCTCTTAATTGCTGAGGAAAGAAAGCATACAAGCTGGGCTTGAGCAGGGCCAGGATCCACTCTCCGACGAGGTTGGGACCCTGTTCAGAAGCTTACATACAGCTCCACAACACAGCTCTGACCGCCATTCTGACTTTCTTACTTGACACATCATGCAAACAGCTGATACTCAGAGGACTAGGGTCTATATGTTCTCAAATGCTATAAAAAGATAGCTTCATATAGTGTTGTAAGTGAATGTAGGACTCCTACCAACATTAGGGCCACATCATGACTTTGTGGACCTTAGGTATGTTTGCCTTTTTGGGCCCCTTCTTTCATAAAGAAATATTAAAAATTATACTTTACAACTGATTTGGTATAAAAACAAATAATCTAGTTAGATATATTATTATAAATTAATTGTTATATTCGATTTTTCCTTCAATGTTAAAATAAAGTTAAAACATCTTTTTGTTAAATTTTAATTCCAGTGTAGCTAACATACAGTGTTATAATAGTTTCAGGTGTAAAATACAGTGATTCAACAATTCCATGCATCACCCAGTGCTCATCAAGACAAGTGCACTCCTTATCCCCCATCACCTATTCACCCATCCACATCACCCAACTCCCTTCGGGTAACCATCAATGTGTTCTCTATAGATAAGAGTGTTTTTTTGGTTTGTCTATCTCTCTTTTTTTTTTTTTCCTTTGATGGTTTGTTTTGTTTCTTAAATTCCACATAAGAGTGAAACTCTATGATATTTGTCTTTCTCTGGCTGAATTTTATCACTTAGCATTGTACTGTCTAGCTCCATCCATGTCATTACACAAGGCAAGATTTCTCTTTTTTTGTATAAATATATATTTTTTAAGTTTTTATTTTAATTTCAATCAACACACAGTGTTATATCACTTTCAGGTGTACTAGATTTCATTCTTTCTTATGGCTGAATAATATTCCATTGTATATATATACATCACATTTTCTTTGTCCATTCATCAATCTATGGACACTAGGGCTGCTTCCATATCCTGGCTATTTAAATAATGTTGCTATAAACATACATGTGCACGTATCTCTTTGAATTAGTGTTTTTGTATTGTATTGTTTTGTTTTGTTTTTGTATTTTGGGGGAAATTACCCAGTAACATGATTACTGGATTATAGGGTAGTTCTGTTTTTAACTTTTTGAGGAACTTTCATACTGGTTTCCACAGTGGCTGCACCAGCTTGCATTCCTACCAACAGTGCAAGAGAGTTCATTTTTCTCCACATCCTCATCAACACTTGTTTCTTGTGTTTTTGACTTTAGCCATTCTGACAGGTATGAAGTGATATCTCATTGTAGTTTTGATTTGCATTTCCCTGAGGATGAGTGCTGTTGAGCATCTTTCATGTGTCTGTTGGCCATCTGTATGTCTTCTTTGGAGAAATGTCTGTTCATGTCTCCTGCCCATTTTTTAATTGGATTATTTGTTTTTTGGGTGTTGAGTTGTTTAAGTCAAAGAGGTTTCTGCCTGTGTTCTCCTCTAGAATTCTGATGGATTCCTGTCTCACATTTAGGTCTTTCCTCCATTTTGAATTCATTTTTTTGTATGGTGTGGGAAAGTGATCCAATTTCATTCTTCAGCATGTGGCTGTCCAATTTTCCCAGCACCTTTTATTGAAGAGACTGGCTTTTTTCCATTGGATATTCTTTCCTGCTTTATTGAGGAGTAATTGATCATATGTAATTGTGAGTTTATTTCTGGGTTTTCTATTCTGTTACATTGATCTATGTGTCTATTTTTGTGCCAGTACCACATTGTTTTGTTGACTACAGCTTTATAATATAACTTTAAATCCCAGAATTGTGATGCCTTCATCTTTGCTTTCAATTTTCAAGATTGCTTTGATTTTCAGGGTATTTTGTGGTTCCATAAAAATTTTAGGATTGTTTGGTCTAGCTCTCTGAAAAATGCTATTTGTATTTTGATAAGGATTGCATTAAATGTGTAGATTGCTTTGAGTAGCATAGACTTCTTAAAAATATTTGTTTTTCCAATCCATGAGTATGGACTGTTTTTCCGTTTCTTTGCGTCTTCCTCAATTTCTTTCATAAGTGTTCTATAGTTTTCAGAATACAGATCTTTTATCTCTTTGGTTAGGTTTATTCCTAGGTAACTTACTGTTTTTGGTGCAAGTGTAAATGGGATTCTTTTGTTAATTTCTCTTTCTGCTGCTTCATTATTGGTGTATAGGAATGCAATAGATTTCTGTATGCTGATTTTGTATCCTGCAAAATTACTAAATTCACTTATCAGTCTAGCAGTTTTGGGGAGGTTTTCAGGATTTCTTTTTTTTTTTTAAGATTTTATTTTATTTTATTTTGACAGAGAGAGAGGGAACACAAGCAGGGAGAGTGGGAGAGAGAGAAGCAGGCTCTCCGTGGAGCAGGGAGCCCAATGCAGGGCTTTATCCCAGGACCCTGGGATCATGACCTGAGCCAAAGGCAGATGCTTAATGACTGAGCCACCCAGGTGCCCTGGTTTTCAGGATTTCTATATAGAGTATCATGTCATCTGCAAATAGTGAAAGTTTATTTCTTCCTTACAGATTTGGATGCCTTTTATTTCTTTTTATTGTCTGATTGCTGTGGCTACAACTTCTGGTACTATGTTGAATAATAGTGGTGAGAGTGGACATACATGTCTTGTTCCTGACCTTAGGGGGAAATCTCTCAGTTTTTCCCCATTGAGGATCACGTTAGCTGTGGGTTTTTCATATATGGCCTTTAGTAATTTGAGATATGTTCCCTCTAAACCTACTTGGTTGAGGGTTTTTATAATGAATGGGTGTTGTACTCTGTCAAATGCTTTTTCTGCATCTACTGAAATGATCATATGGTTCTTTTCCCCCCCTTTTTAAAAGTTTTTATTTAAATTACAGTTACATACAATGTAATATTAGTTTCAGGTGTACAATATAGTGATTCAATACTCACATACAATACATGGTGAAATCACAAAAACTGTGCTTCTTAACCCCCATCACCTATTTAATCCATTCCCCCACCCACCTCCCCTCTGGTAACCATCAGTTTGTTCTCTATAATTAAGAGTCTTTTTTTCAGTATACCTCTCTCTTCTTTTCCCTATGCTCTTCTGTTTGTTTCTTAAATTCCACATGTAAGTGAAATCATATGGTATTTGTCTTTCTCTGACTGCCTTATTTTGCTTAGCGTAATACTCTTCAGTTCCATCCATGTCATTGCAAATGGTAAGATATCATTATTTTTTATGGCTGAGCAATATTCCATTACACACACACACACACCTTTTTATCCATTCATCTTTCAGTGGGTACTTGGGGTATTTCCATAATTTGGTATTCTAGGTAATGCTGCTATAAACATCAGGGTGCATGTATCCCTTCAGATTAGTATTTTTGTATTATTTTGGTAAATACATCATAGTACAATTATTGGATCTTAGGGTAGTTCAATTTTTAGCTTTTTGAGAAACCTCCATACTGTTTTCTAGAGTGACTGAACCAGTTTACATTTCCTCCAATGGTGCAGCAGGGTTCCTCTTTCTAAACATCCTCACCAACATGTGTTGCTTCTTGTGTTGTTGTTTTTAGCCATTCTGACAGTGTGAGGTGGTATCTCATCGTAGGTTTGATTTGTATTTCCCTGATGATCAGTGATGTTGAGCATCTTTTCATGTGTCTGTTGGCCATATGTATGTCTTCTTTGGGAAAAAAAAATATGTCTATTCACATCTTCTACCCATTTTTTTCATTGGATTATTTTTTTGTGGTGTTGAGTTTTATAAGTCCTTTATAGATTTTGGATACTAACCTATTATCAGATATGTCATTTGCAAATATCTTCCCCCATTCCTTAGGTTGCATTTTAGTTTTGCTGATTGTTCCCTTTACTGTATAAATGTTTATATTTTGATGAAGTTCCAATAGTTCATTTTTGCTTTTGTTTCCCTTCCCTCATGGAACATATTTAATAAGTTGCTGTGGCCAATATCAAAGAGATTACTGTACTCTCCTCTTGGATTTTAATTTGTTCCCCTCTAGGATTTTAATGGTTTCCTGCCTCACATTTAGGCCTTTCATCCATTTTGAATTTGTTTTTCTGTATGGTTTAAGAAAGTGCTCCAGTTTCATTCTTTTACATGTTGCTGTCCAATTTTCTCAACACCATTTTTTGAAGAGACTGTCTTTTTCCCCCCATCAGATATTCTTTCTTGCTTTGTCTAACTTAATTGACCATATAGTTGAGGGTTCCTTTCTGGGTTTTCTGTTCTGTTGCATTGGTCTATGTGTCTATTTTTGTGCCACCCCATACTGTTTTGATTACTACAGCTTTGTGATATAACTTGAAGTTTGGAATTGTGATGACTCCAGCTTCTCTTTTCTTTTTCAAAATTGCTTTGTATCTCCAGGGTCTTTTGTGGTTCCATACAAATTTGTGGATTGTTTTATCTAGGTCTGTGAAAAATGCTGGTGGTATTTTGATAGGGACTGCATTAAATGTGCTTTGAGTAGTATAAGCATTTTA